GGCACTGACAGGGAGGCAACACGGCAGAAGAAGAGGTGAGGAAGGAGGAGGGGAACCAGCAGATAAACTGCTCTTCACATATGCTTTTAGCCGGCGTTAATCCCATTTTCCACGCTCCTTTCTGACACCTCCCCTTCCCCACCACACCCTTCCACCCTCCTTCCCTCAGGAAGTCCGTCCCCCCCTTGTGACCCTCTCATCAGCCAAGACTGTTTCAGCTAGGTTACATGTATATTAAGAACTTAATTAAAAAAAGGGGGCTACTGTGGAAAACCTTGAAAAAGACGACAGAGGTCATGCTCTTCCCAAGATTAGGCTCACCACAGAGCACTTCATCTGCCCGGCTCAGTGCTGATGCAGCTTACTCTGCCCTTTGACATCTCTTAATCACCCGCTGACAGATCCCTAACAGGATTTTCACCCACTGACGATAGGCTGCACTTCAGTAACGCCTCAAGAAGTGATTTGGATTAACCACACTTGCACCCGGGTGACGAACAAGGCACCAAACAGCGAGTCACGAGCACGAGCAGCACATCCCAATTCCCAGGACTTGCAGAAGGGGCTGGTGCTGGCAGTGGGGTACGGCCCACGCACGGCCAGAGGACACCGTTCCACAGCTGCACATCTTCTTTTTCCAAGGACAAACTGTTCTTTACCCAGTAGAACTAACTGGTGCTGATTTCTTGCAGATCCACATCCAAAATTTCATTTTGTTGTCCACTACAAATCTCTCCATGTTGTCTAATAAAGATCTCCAGTCCCACCCCAACAGGTCCTCACCATATCTGTGGACACCCGGCTTCCCCGCCCTGTCATCACACCTACAATTTCCTCCCACACCTCTGCCCCACTGTCTCAGGATCCTTATGCCTCTGCAGTAACACTCTCCATAGTTCTATCCATTGGTCCTGTGGCTCACCCGTCACTTGTGTAGTTTCCTTCCACAGAGCTCACTCTCTCCTCTCTCCTCCATAGGAGACCACAGATGCTGTGGTGAGTCCAGACCTGTGAGCACATCGTCTCGTTGGTCAACCAGCATCTACCAAGCAGAATTTCTAACACCCAAGTTGTCCTTGTATCTCCCTCTTGGACTTGTTTTTTTCTGCAGTGCTCAGTCAACAGCAGCTAACGCAGCCTGGAAGGATTTCACTATCTTTGGAAGACTTTTGAGGCTGTGAGACCTTTATGCTAATGCCATTCCATTTATTTAAATGGAGATACTCCCACTCTAAGTTCAAACCTCTTGGAATTGCTAATGCAGTTTCCCTTTCAGACTTTCTGAGCTCCTGTTTGGAAGCATGATACCTGTGGTTTCCTAGTGAAACAAGGTTAATACAGACACCTGGCATGCCCAGCTGTCCACACACCTTCTATCTCCAGCAATTTTGGGTCCCGCTGGCCAACACCAACTCAATTGTGTGTATTATAAAACTGTGAGGGCAGAGATCTCATGACACAATTGTAACAGACTGCTCTTGCCATTTTGCAATATGTTCCCCTGTAAAAAATGAAGGAAACACCACGTTTTCTTAGTTATACTGAAGATAAGAAAGACCATGGGAAGAGAGTCCCTTTGAAAAGCGATTTCTGGCTTAAAAGAAGGAAACTCACAGCAAAAGAATTAAAAGTCACAAAAACTAGATTATTATCATTTTAGTGAACAGAAACAGGCATATATCTATAAATATAAATAAATAAAGATATTTCCTTTAATGTAAGGAAAATGGCTCAGGTCACAGCATGGAGCTGAAAGCATTTATTGACTTCCACACCAAGAAGAACAGGAGCTGCCTGCTCGTGTAATACAAACTTCACTACAGCTGGTTCCCTGTGTTCCTTACAGAGAGAGGAAAGCAGGGGCCCATATTCAATATGCAGTAATAAAAAGGGCCCCAACCCCTCATTAATTTAAGGCAAGGTTCATGCAATACCTACAGAGCATGGTCAGCTGTGCCTCCACAAAAAAAAAAAACGTGGCCAGCTGTTCCTCCACAAAAAAAAAAAAAAAGAAAATAAAGTGAATTCAATTTCCTTTCAAACGAAAGGTGGTTTGATAAATGCAAACCTGCACACTGCAACCCACCTGCTGATACCCAGCTTCATCACTCGGAAACTCACAGCGCAGCGGCTGAGGCTAAGTATGTCCTGAAACAGAGTTCAATTTCAAACTCAGGCAGGGACCGGCGATTATGAAAGGACAGCGGCATCAGAACTGCACTGTCACAACGCATCTCTGCGTCACATTTCTGTTCCAGGATTTCTATGCAACAACCCCTGGCCGGGTTGCTGGAAGATCTCACAGTGAATTTTTCTCTTCTGGAAGAATTCACCGGCAAGGATGATGAACAACCTCATGGGTCTGATCTAACATCCACTGAAGTCAAAGGCTCAGCTGTTTCAGGCATTTGCAGAGCAGGTTCCTCATGAGGAGCTTAGAGCTACCCAAGCCTTGCTCCCTCTGATGGGTGTTGCTGTAGAGAATGAGTCGGAAATGCTGAAAGATCTGGCTGTACAAGACCTTACAGCTATGCCAGAACCAGCTGTCACAGTTACCAAAGTATACAAAAGTCCCTGCATGTGTTAGCTAGAACCAAGGCAAAATAACTTTGCAGGCGTTGTTATTCTTGCATCTACAGCACCTTTTGCTGCAGCGCTCCCCCACACAGCCTTTTCTCAGACTGGTAATTTCTTAGTGCCAGGATAAAACCTTTAAACTAGGCATGCCACAAACGCTAGTTCAAGGTCAGAGCAAGGAAATCACCCTTGTGCCACAAATACTAGTTCAAGGTCAGAGCAAGGAAATCACCCTAAGGAAGAGGGAGAAGTTGTAAGCCTGGACAAGTACACAGAAATTAGCAAATTACCAAGCTACAAAGTCTGGGCCAAAAATACCACCCCTTGAGGATGACACTCCCACACGAGGTCCCAGTTTTCCCCACACGTACACTAGTGTGATCCCACTGGCTTCCTTGGAATTGCTCCCAATTCCCACCGACCGAGAAGAGCCGCAGCCTTCCCAGCCTCTCCGAGAAGGTGGCACAACGCAGCGCAGGCTGCAAACCATGGCCACGGAGGAGCTCCGTGTCGACTGGGAGTCACTCACGCTCTGAAGAGGAGGCAGCTCAGAAATAGCTGAGATTGCTGCCCCCGCTCAGTGTCCCCACACACAGGGGATAAATGTGCTGAGACAACACAGCACTACCCAGCAATAATGGCATTAGACAAATCACGTATCGCTTCCCGCAAAGCCACCGGCCTTAAGGGACAGTGCCTGTAAAGAGCAGAGAAATACTGCCTTGTCCTTGTGAACACTGCACACACTTTGCATTATGAGCTCTAGGTGACTGGAAGCTGCTGCTATTCTTTACTTGTGCTGCAGGGTCAGGCCACTCACACATTAAGGCTTGGCCAAGTCACACAGGTAAATAGCATTTACGCGGTATCCCACAGAAACATTTGTCTGTAACTCTCTACACTCAAGACACTGAAGGTCAGAGGTTGCAGTCCAAATCTTATTAGGGAAATAACTCAAAAAAACTCTCAGCAAGGATGGAAAAAGACTTTTAAAAGGGAATTGGGAACTCTAGCAAAGACCAAATCCAGAAAAGCTGTCGTCTTCAGAGACACAAAGTCTGATGTTGGTAACTCAACCTGCAAACCAACAGGCACGGTTTGGTCAGTTGGACAGATGAGACCCAGCTCAGGTCAAAGAGGGCTCCTGGAGGAGCAGAGCGAAGCCGTGCGTTAGAAACAGAAGGGCCTGACAGCCTGAGTGAGGAGCCCAGCAAGCTCCAGGAGATGGACAGAGAAACACAGAAGGGGAAGCTTACCTCTCACATAAGGTTTGTCTAGGCAGAGGCTTATATTCTAGTTGCAGTTGAACTGAGAAAACCAACAGAGAAGGAGCAAAAGTGTCCCCTCTGGTTAGATTAAAGGGAATTAAAGCAAATCTGTGGCCTTGTGTGATTGCGAGTTGTCAAATATGATGGAGAATCCCTCTGTCCACAGCATCATCTGTAAATCTCACTAATAACTATGTGAAGAAGCCTAAAATATTCTTTTGAAAACCTTTGTCTCTATCCTCCGCATCGTACTCAGCCCAAAATCTACCTCTGCAGCTGCATGGGAATGTTGCTGTGTACTCAGCCAGTGCTGTACTGGTAAGGGACAGTGCCTTCTGAAGGCACAGAGGCAACCACACGAGCTAATACCAGGGCAGGAACGCTCAGGCTGTGCGTGGTGCCCGTGCTCTGGAACCAGCATGGGGAAAAGCAGGGCAGCAGACGGCCAGTTATTTACCAACAGGGTTAAAGAAACAAATCAAGTCTTCCCTAAACATGCTGCCTGATTTGTGCTAGAAGTCCAGAATCCACTGCCGAGGAGAAATTAAAAAAAAATCTAGAATCTGCTGTTGGTTACAGAGTCACAGAATAACACAGGCTGGGAGCGACCTCTCGAGATCACCCAGTCCAAGCCCCTGCTCAAGGTTTTGAGCACCTCCACGGACAGAGACTCCGTAACCTCTCTGGCTACCTGTTCCATGGTTTCACCACCCTCAAAGTGCAAAAAGTGTTTTCTTGCATTCCAACTGAATTGTGTTTCAGTTTGTGCCCACTGCCTCTTGTCCTGTCGGTGGGCACTACTGAGAAGAGTCACCTCCCATCAGGTATTTACACACACTGCTGAGATCCCCTCGAGCTTCCTCACCAGGCTGAACAGTCCCAGCTCTCACTGTACAGGAGATGCTTCAATCCCTTAATCTTTGTGGCCCTGTCCTGGATTCACTCCGGTAAGTCCATATGTTTCTTGTACTGGGGAAGTCCAGAACCAGACCCAGCTCTCTAGTTGTGGCCTCATCAGTGCTGAGCGGAGGAGAAGGATCACTTCAGTCATAGAATCATAGAATGGCCCAGGTTGGAAGGGACCTTAGAGATCATTTTAATCCGGCCTCCCTATCACCAGGGACACCACCTCTCGACTAGATCAGGCAACACACGGGGACCGAACGGGAATCGAACCCGCGACCTTGGCGTTGTTAGCGCCACGCTCAACTGACTGAGCTAACCGGCCCCCTAAACTTCCCTCCATCTGGTTGATCCTGCAGCCCAGGGTACTCTTGGCCACCTTTGCTACAAGGGCACACAGCTGGCTCATGCTCAGCTTGTTGTCCACCAGGTCCTTCTTGGCTTAAGGATAACCTCTCATGCTTCTGCTCTGACTACAGGCAATGCCACAAACAGGCCACTGCGGTGGTAAATTCACACCTTCATTAGCTGGACATATGAAACAAGGCTATAACGTAGCAAAAAAACTAAACACAAGACACAGGTAAATGCACATTAACTGCACTGTGACTTCAGTGAAGGGGCAGGGGTAAAGAATCTCTTTCCAATCACAGAAAATAAATACTATATTTAGCGTAAAGAGAGTATTTTGCAAATCGACATACCTGGACAGCCACCAACTTGAAAATCAACATTTCTGTAGGAAAATAACTAAAATGTACAAATGAGAAACAAGTGCGGAATCAATACACAAAATCAGGGTTTTGCCCTTGTTGATTTTAACCATCAAAAAAAGCCATGATTTAAACTGCCGGAATTTATACATAAATGACATAAATTCATCAACCTTGTTTTTCAGATAATAATTCTCTTCACGGCTAGATTAGCCCCGTCAGAGCCTAACAAAAGTGCAAACAGGAGCGCCTCGCTGCACACCCAAACCCTCCTCCTCGCTGCAGCGTCGCCGCTTCCGCGCTTCACTGTGGCCCCTCTACCTTGCTCCGTGGTTCCAGGGTCGCATTTCCCAATCTGCTGTCAAATGTGGGAACTCAGCTGCTCAACCCAGAGAAACTGGGGTGCTGTGGGAGGTATGTCAGTACCTGAGGTGGGTTCCAGCTTTAAGGAGAGCCTCATCTTGAAGACAACATCAGAGAACTGTCTACAAAGCGATGGAGCTACTGAGGTGAAGCAGGTAGAATGAATGCTAAGCAAGAAGCAGAGATATTTGCTCATATTTACATATACAGAGGAAGTCACACTCTCTCTCCTGCTCTTATATGAGCAGACAAGAGGGAATATCCAGGTTGCTACAGGGCAAGCCCAACTTTATGACACATTTAGCCCAGTAAGAATAAGACGCTGCAAAAATAATAGTTCTCTCCAGTAACTTCATACTTCAGGACCATGGAGAAAACCATTTTTCAAGATAAAATACAGAATAAAACTCAGAATTATGTGAATGAGAGCCCTATGGAATTATTATAGCTGTTTATATTGGAAGGCTCAACCCAAGACTAGGACTCTACCGCGATAAACATTGTGCGTACACGTAACAGGTGCTACACCCTGCCTTGGGGTAGAAGGTTATGATCCAAATGGATAAAGACAGTCAAAGAGTACACCTAATTATACACTATTTCTCCGTTTGAAGATAATGACTTTAGGCAGGAAGAAATTGGGCGACTCGTTGAAGGTCACACACAGAAAGCCCTGTGGCAGAGCTGGAAACCAAGCGCACGCCACGATCCCATTTGAAGTTGGCAAAAGCTAGGAAAAACGTTATTAACGCATTTTCAGCGACGAATAAGCCGGCTGCTATGGCTCGGTTTCTGCTCGTTTTGATGGGTTGAGCTCGGCGGCAGGGCTTGAGCACCGAGCTCAACCCATCAAAACGAGCTGCGTGTGCCCTGGGACAAGGAGTGGGGCTGGGGAGGTATGGTACAATAATCTCCCATCTGCACGCTAGAGCTTTGAATCCCTTCCTTTCCAGCTCAATAGGTGCATCTGCTGCCCCTCCGCTAATCCTCGACGTTGTTTAAAATGCAGATCAGCTGAGATGATGCTTTTTCCTTTCCCATTACAGGCCGTAGCCTAATAAAAGAGCTTTAATCACCGAGGCAATATTCTATATCTCTTGCAGGGTCTGCTGCTTCATTCTTTCCTCTTTGCCTTTGTTTGGAAGCCAGATCTTTGTCAGGCACTAGCAGCAGCGGGATATAATTTCGCAGCGCAAGGTTTGAAGCCAGCCGAAGCGACGATAACCTTTCCCAAAACTGCGGCATCGTAATTAGAAGATTGTGACTGCAAAAAGGTAAACAGCAGGGAACTCGGGTCATAGGAACCCCCTGAGAAAATGCATCCTAACCCCCTGGATACGTTGCATGATTTTAAATGTAAAAAGCAGCATCAGCAGACTTCCTTACTTGTCTTTGTCTCCCTAGCACTAATGCACTCTGACATTTTTTTAGATGTCAGGAAGTACAAGAGCTACAGAGGAAAGCCACGATTGGTTACGTGACTGTAGGCTGAGAAAAAATGACTTAATTATTTCCCATAAAGAACATATACATGAATATAGTTACGTGTACACGTTAACCTGCAATAACGAGCTCCTTCCAGGCAATTCTATGGCCAAATGAATGACCCAGTAAGCTGGGAAGCTGTTCTTGCCGTGATGAGAGGGAGATCATGCAAGTCATCATCATAAAAATAAGACCATGAGATCCGCTGTGGTTAAGGCTTGATCCAGCTCTGAATCTTTTGAGCAAGAAGTGACATTCCAGAGTCCTCCCTTCCACAGGTATTGCCATCAATGCTCTTCAGAAGGACAGCCCAGCCTGGAATTCTCCTCCTGTTTATCCTTAAATTAATTTTCTCCTCTAGCAAACATAGTTTCTGCAAATAACTTTACAGCATAATACAATAAATCTTGTCTCTCCCTATATCTATAAACTGCAGCAAGGAAGATAAGCAAACCAATTATTTTACTGATCAGGCTGTGCCTGTCTTCCTAAAGTGTACAACATATGGTGGAGAGGAGGACAAAGGAATCCTTCTTACGTTGCAAGAAACACGTTCACGGCACGACGGCAAAACAGAGCACAGCACCTCCCCTACCGCAGGGAGCAAGACAGATACTGAAGGAATAAAAAAATAACACACCCATGGGGTGTGGCAAAGAGGGATGTACTCCTTGCCATCAATATTTCCTGAGTCACCAGATACCCAAAAGACCAAATGAGGAAAACTCGCTGCTTGCAAGACTTCCAGAGGTCATTTGGAGCTTGGCAAGCCCCTGACTTTCGCTTGCTGAAACACCAGCTGCTCTGCAGGGCTTTAGCAGAGCCAATTGGGCATCCCAAAGGGTCTTGACCGGCATGATCCTGTGGGCAGACACAGGACAAAACCATTCAAGATATTCCTCACCCTAAATACCTAAGCCGGGGCAGGCACTACTGACTTCCTCAACAGCGAGAAACCCGATGTGCTCTGCCCGACTTGCACATCTGCACTGAAATTCTTGGAAGCAACAGCTCCATCCCTCAGAGCCTCTTCTGTTTGAACTCACGGGAGACCCGAACAGTAACTCCGCGTGTTAGATTTGCTGATCAAGGGCAGCCCAGCACGTGGTCCTCTTCTGCCTGTTGCTATCATAGCAATTAAAGGGGAAAAGACGACGGGACGAGCCATTTCATCCGTGCACAAGTGCATGTATTATTTGTCTCATTATGCAGACACAACGTGATTTTCAATTAGCTGTCCAACGGTATGATCGAACAGAAAATACTTTAATTATGTATTTCATGGACATGTTTCAAAGGTGCTGCTCCGGTCTCAAAATAATTAGCTGCATGCACAGACAACTTGGAGAGTTCCAGAGGGCCTGTGGTTACTGCCCTTTACAAGATACAGAAGAGTTACTTGGTTTCCTGAAGTGCAAAGGCCTCCTGGTTGCAAGCAAACTGCACCTAACATACCCCACCAGGGTTACAGGTCCCCGTGCACACAGATATGGCTGGGATGCTAAAGAAACACGGGGCACAGGCAGTAGCTGCCCAACCAAATCTGGGCCAAAGAGGGCAAAAAGTGGGGAAAGGCTGGAGAGGAACCAACGGAGCCAAGTCACGTGCACTTGTCCTCTCACCAAGCAGCGGCGCTGACCTGCAGGAGCAGTGTCTCGCTTACTGTTTGTATAAGCAGTAGTAAATTACTACTGCCTGGTGAAAAAGCTGAGGAAGATGCTACAAAACAAGTTTTCTCCAATTAATAAAGCCTCCAAGGACCACTTACACACTGTCCCCTTCTAATGAGGGCACCCAAAGTCATAATCCAGTTCTCTTCTATAATTAACGTCTGTAATTACCAGCATACAACACTGTGGTTAACAAATGGCACTACTCTGAACATCAAACATTCATAGCTGCATTTTGCATATTACACGCAAAGCATGCAAGTTTCATAGCAAAAAAATCCTCTTTTTTCCTTTTTTTTTTTTTTCTTTTCAGATAGGAATACAAGATTTTCATTTCAACTGCTGGCTAAAGTAAAAGAGTATAGAGAGAAGGCTAAATTCTGGCAACCCTCCACAAGCATATGTGAACAGGAATTGATTTTCTTGTTATAAATAGCAATGTCTTGCAGGACATCACCTGCCAGTGATCTCTACACCAAGGTGACCAGATGACACATACCGCAACGTATCTATACATTTTTTTTGTAAAGCATCTTTTCTGGAGTTGCTGAAAATAGTGCCAAAAGGAATTAGGAATATTAACTGAAAGGGGGAAAATGGCAGGTATAAACATTGCCAGAGGATACTCACTGTTCCCACAACCGGAATGCTGTATGACATCTGTCCGAACAAACAGGCAACTTTTACACTAACTCCCCGATAACTCAATTATCTGTGTCAATGTCAAGGCAGGGCTCTGCCCTTTCACATCCTTTGTCATATATATTTATCTCCTCCTGTATCACAGCAGTCCTGCTGGCCTTTAGGAAGGAGATGCCTTGGTGGAAATGAGGCCTGACAGGAAAACAAGGCAACGATTCTGAAAGCACAGAGGCATCTTTTGTAATTAAGGGGTTTGGTTGTTTTTCCTGTAGGTATTTGTAAGAGGTTTATTTGTTTGTTTGTGAAGTGAAGCTACTAAGCTTCAGGGAATCATTTCAAAATTGTTACTGCTTCAGATTCAAAGAGATTTTTCCACTGCTGAGTTCTCTCTAGCTATCACGTAGGGAATGGAAGGAGGTAGCAGGTACCTTCAGAACATGAGAGACACCAGCA